CCCCCCCCCTCCCCTCCCTCATTTCCTTAAACTTTGTGCAATTTTGTACTCAAATAGATTGAGAGGCGTATATACTACGACGAAGTGGAGAGCTTAGTTGTCGAGTTGCTCCCGACAACTTCCTCGCTGGTGTTGGATGTACCGAGGGCTAAACGATTTCAGCGAAAGGTCGGAAACTGGAAGAAGCTTCGGTCCATTGATGATGTGGCTCTGGTTATTTACCCGCCTGAAGAAAATGAAGCAGAATCAGAAGAAAAGAACGAGACGAGTCCTGCTATGTTCCCTCTTGTATTAAGCCTTTTGTCCACTGTCCCTGTGGCTCTTCATGCGATTGGAGGAGAAGATGGTCCACTGGAAATAGGTGCTAGATTGTACATGTGCTCTTACTTCAGGTGAGTTTTAGGAGAAGCCTGGGTGGAGCTTAGGGAGATTTGGAACGCTGACGTTCTAATCGATTTCACTGAATATGTACATGTTTTTCCCCCCTTTGTAGGTAATCTTCCTGTTACCACAGCCCACTATGTTTTTAATTGGTGGGTTTCTTGCACGTTCATGTCCTCTCACTTTGTTTTCCTCTTCAAATTATATGCATATTTTGGAGAACCTAGAGAAATTTGAGTGCGACCTATTCTTGTTTTGGGAAACTAGACCACCTTGTTATGAACTGGTGGACTTCTTACTCTATGCGTATCTTGTAGAGAATCTGGAGAAATTTAACTTCTGCTGAGCCGTGGTGGTGATTGCAATTGATAGATGAATGCCAAATTTGTCATCTTACTGAGAGAAGAAAATAATACAGCGGAAGGCCCTCCATATGAGATCATACAGGAAGCAGATCGAGCCGGGTGTCTGAACACAGACTTTACAATGGAGAAGAGAATGTAACTATTCTCCGATTCTACGACAGAAAAGGGAATGCAACTATTTTCCAAGTACTTACTGGAGTAAGCTTTAAAGTTTTTATAGTTTACTCATAAACAATTAATTCTTAGCCAAGTAATGTTAGCCTTATGAGGCCCAGGGTAATTTACACGGTAAAAAAGTTCACACGACCAAAACATTTCAAGGCCGCAACGGCATTTGCGGCAGAAGATGAGGCATGGATTGTGGGTTAGGGCAAGTATCTTATATTTAGGTTCGGACGATTCCATGGATCTAAATGGAAATGCATATGGAATCTGTAGACTTATATGCAATTTAGATGCTTGACAGGATGTGCAACGAAAAAACCGATGTCATTTTGAATGTTATGCCGTTGCCATGATTTTATCTTGCGAGGTCCGATATATTAAAATCATTAGACAGGTTAACGATAGATCGTTTTTTATAATGTGAATTGTTCTATAATATTTCCTAAAGCAGGTGAACGATATGCTGCTTGAGTTCTCTTTTTGTTTGTTTTTCTCTTGATATTTAATTTGAAAATGGATTAGTTGGGGTCGACGTTCCCACACGAAATGTTATGCAGTTATGGGCTCCTTTGTATTTTAAAATTTTCCTACTCTATCGGTCGATAATTTTTTCCATGTTAGTTCTAGTTCGTTTCATGTTAGTTCTAGCTAGTTCTAGTTCTAATTCATCTTAGTTCTAGGCTTTTGGGCTCTCATGTTAGTTCTAATCCGTCACATGTTAGTTCTAGCCCACCCCATGTTAGTTCTAGATAGTTCTAGCTCTAATTCATCTTAGTTCTAGGTTCTTGGGCTCTCATGTTAGTTCTAACCCGTCCCGTGTTAGTTCTAGTCCGTCCCATGTAAGTTCTAGCTAGTTCTAGTTCTAATTCATCTTAGTTCTAGGCTCTTGGGCTCTCAAGTTAATTCTAACTTGTCCCATGTTAGTTCTAACTCGCTCAATATTAGTTCTAGTCCGTTTCATGTTAGTTCTAGCTAGTCCTAGTTCTAATTCATCTTAGTTCTAGGCTCTTGGGAACGGAGAAAAACTTTTCCCACCTCAGGCGGAGCCTACCAAGACACCCCGACGACCTCGGCAACCTCCTCCCACCTCAGCAAGCCCGGACAACGGTGAAAAGCTCCGAACAGCAAAGAACAAACCCGAACGGCGAGAAATTGCACTGTAGAAAACTACAGTTTTGTGCCAACTTTGCACACACTTTTCGATCACCTCCAATCTTTGTTTTCGCCAATTTTTTCTTTGATGAGTAGCCCTACATGTTGCCTATCACCTCCAATTTTTATCACGCTCTAACTCATTCTCTATCTCTCTCGGTAACGTCCGAACATCGGACGACGACAGCAGCGAGCAGAAAACAGCAGCGCCGTGCTAACTTCACGCGCGTTTTTCGGTCACCTCCGATCTCTGTTTTCACCACCGTCTTCACCGGTGTGTAGCCCTTTATATTATTTATCACAGTATCTTCCTTTCACTTGAGCTTATTTTTTACCTCTTGTTATATCGCTTCGAATATTACGAATTGTTCCTTCATCATCTTAATTTCTGAGAGAAGTGAAAGGAAGATATCGTGTGAACTATCTAGAACTAACTTGAGAACCCATGTTAGTTTTAGCCCGTCCCATGTTAGTTCTAGCTCTAATTCATCTTAGTTTTAAGCTCTTGGGCTTTCAAGTTAGTTCTAACTTATCTCATGTTAGTTCTAACCCGCCTCATGTTAGTCCTAGCCCGTCTAATGTAAGTTCTAGCTAGTTCTAGCTCTAATTCATCTTAGTTCTAGGTTTTTGGGCTCTCAAGTTAGTTTTAGCCCGTCCCATGTTAGTTCTAACCCGCCTCATGTTAGTTTTAGCCCGTCCTATGTTAGTTCTAGCTCTAATTCATCTTAGTTCTAGGCTATTGGGTTCTCAAGTTAGTTCTAACCCGCCCCATGTTAGTTCTAACCCGCCCCATGTTAGTTCTAGATAGTTCTAGCTCTAATTCATCTTAGTTCTAGGCTCTTGGGTTCTCATGTTAGTTCTAACTCGTCCCATGCTAGTTCTAGCCCGTTTCATGTTAGTTCTAGCTAGTTCTAGCTCTAATTCATCTTAGTTCTAGGCTCTTGGGAACGGAGAAAAGCTCCTCCCACCTTCGGCGGAGCCCACTGAGACACCCCGACGACCCCGACAACCTCCTCGCACCTCTGGCAAGCGCGGACATCGGCGAAAAGCTCTGAATAACGAAGAACAAACCCGAACGGTGAGAAATTGCACTGTAGAAAACTGTAGTTTTGTGCCGACTTCACACGCACTTTCCGATCACCTCCAATCTCTGTTTCCGCCGATTTCTTCTTTGATGAGTAGCCCTACATGTTGCCTATCACCTCCAATTTGTATCACGCTTTAACTCATTCTCTATCTCTCTCGGTAACGTCCGAAACATCGTTCGACGGCAGCAGCGAACAGAAAACAACAGCGCCGTGCCGACTTCGCGCGCGTTTTCCGGCCACCTCCGGTCTCCGTTTTCACCACCATCTTCGTCGGTGTGTAACCCTTTATATTGTCTATCACACGGTATCTTCCTTTCACTTGGGCTCATTTTCTACTTCTCGTTATATCACTTCGAATATTACGAATCGTTCCTTCATCATCTCAACCTCTGAGAGAAGTACAACAACGAATCGATTAAAAGCTGAGCTCCACCTGTCGTGGATGTAGTGACAACGTGTCTTGCCCATGGTGTGTGCTCCTGTAGTTGTAGTTGATTGGTTTAGTTTGCAAATTGTGTTCATAATTGTACTGTACACGTTTGTTTTGGCAGCGCAATAGTTTCTAGGAGGGGGAGGGGGTAGGGCGACAATCTACGGCGACGAGGATGGGCGGAGGAAGGGGGGATGCGGCGGCGAACTAGAGGGGAGACTTGGGGGCCTAAGCGGAGGCGGCGACGGCGAGGAGGATGAGGGCCAGGGCGACGAGCTTGAGAAAGCACTTAGTTTTAGAGAGAGAGAGAGAGGAGATGAGTGTTGGGTCTGAGGGATTGAGGAGAGAGGATAATGATAATTTGGGGATTTTAGTTTAGCTGATATGTAATAATTGCTAAAAGGGGGCTGCAGCACAAAGTGTTACACTTCAAGGGGCTGATTCACATGAGGGAAACTATGACGGGCCTCGTCACATGAAGTTTCTGTTTTTAGGGTCTGAACACATTTTTCCCATTATATTTTACGTTGATAAAATATAAAAAAGACAATCACATCTGTCAATTTATTAACTTAACATTGTTAGCGAATTATTTCTTGAGCGAAGAAATAGAAATATTATTAAAGAAATCGAAGAAAAAAAATTAATTTGTTTTGAAGAGATGTGTTTTCTATTTTATATGGGAGCAGTTATAGATCCTAGAGTTAAGTTGAGGACTGTAAATTTTTAGGAGCAACACTCACTTCTTGTAGACATACTACATCAGGCCTGAGGGTGGTTAGCTATTTGAGAATCAGTTTTCTTCGAAATGATAAATCTAATGCCCAAGCTGGACAATCTTTATATTTAATGGTGATAGAACATTGTAGGTTAAAATTCGTAGGGGTTCTTTTAAAGAATCAGCAATCGGTAGGAAAGCGGTGGATGAAAAATCAGTTGGGCATGCGCGCACGGCTGCAGTAGCCATGGAGACCTCTGCAAGCAGATGACCTGTCAACGAATGAAGAGCATGACACCTAACTTCTAGCTGGTGCCCAACATCCGATTCAGTTGGAGTATATTGTTTTGTGGATTCAGATATTATTTCGAGATTCCTATGCCTGAAAATTGAACATCATTAATACAAGACAATAAACAACGAAAAATGAAAGAAGGGAGCAGTACCAGTCAATGGAGAATCTGTGATCAGGGATCTCTCCTGGCCCCCTAAGTGTAACTGTGCCTCTAGGAGGCAATCTTGAGCATGTTTTTTGTTTAGCAGCTTTTGAATTTCTAGACCCATCTTTAATATCTGAGTTACATAACAAAGAATTAATTCATCTAAACTGTTCTTGAAAAACATTAGGAGTTAGCTTTTTTTCCCCAAGATTTTGCAGTTCTTTAATCTTGATTAGATTAATTTGATGCATCTTATTTGTTTTTTTTTGAAAGAGACCAAAAACTTGGTGGGGGCATAAATATGTATCAAAAATTGCAAGTGCACAACTAATCAAGTTATTATTTGTTTGTAAGAAATAATTAGAATCGGTTCTTATGTTATGTGTGTGATAATTAGGAGCGATGGTTGCATGTAATTGTGGAGAGATATGAGGAGTGTTGTGAATATGTGCAAAAGTCAATAAAATGAGATTTTGAGAGGATAGAAATGAAGAGTCAATATGATAAAAGAATAAATACAATAAAAAATGAAAGAATGAAAGATGAAGGAAATAAAATTAAGAAACAAATAAGAAAAATAAAAAATTAAAAGAAAAATCAAGAAGGTAAAAGATGAAGGATTCAATCAAAGATACGAGGAATCTAGAATTGAATCCACTAGCTAATCTCAATTACAAAATATAAACTATTCTTTTTTTATCACATTTTACTTTAGATTTATTAAGCATAAACTATCAAACCATTTAAAGAAAGTATAACCTATCAAATTATCATCTAAGCAAAATTAATATTCATGAGTCATGACAAGAACAACAACGAGATAGTAATTCTAGAATTCATAAGTATAACCTATCAAACTACTCAAGATAAGCATAGATTATCAAATTCTTCTTCTACTAATTAGTTCTCTAGTTGATTATTCTATACATGATCATTTTAAGTGCAAGAGAATAATTCACATAATATAAAAGAAATTAGGCAGTTTCCTATAAGAATTAGTTTCACATCTTAAGAAATAATAACAAAAAAGTAAAATGAAAAGCATACGAACTAATTACAAAGAAGAGAAATGAGAATAATGAAATTTACACTATGAACAAGAAATAAATCTAACTAAATTGCAAAAGAAATGAAAATCTAGATTATGCAAGAAAATAAATCTACTCTATAAATTAAAAATATAAAATAAAATAAAGACAAGAAAATAAATATACTCTACAAGACATGAATGTAAATCTAAACCAATAATCAATAGAAAAGAAATTACTATAAAGGAATAAAAAATAAAAGAGAAAATTAACAAGAAAAGAGGGATTAGCCTCATAAAAGAAAACCTTCACATTGATCATCATCATCATCATCATTAAACAAAGAGAAGAGAAATATGAAGTGGTGAAATGAGAATTTGGGATCAACACGATAATATCATACTCCCTTTAAAAGCACGAGTTCGGAAAATCTTTTTTAGACAAATATACCCCTTTATAGTTTGAACTACATTATCTATAATCAAATTCTAATTTTTAATGGTCAATATTACCCTTCACTATTTTGAATATTTTATTTATATCATAATCTATCCTAATCATAATCATATCTTATCCTAATCCTATGTGAACCATGTTTAGCTTAACAATTTAAAAAAACT